AAATTATTGAAAAAATTAGGGCTTCGAACAAGAAATTTTATTGAAATTTAGATTTTTTGATGTTTTTGATTTAAGCTTGAAATTTGAAATTTATTTTCTTCCTTTTTCTTCGGCAAATTTTATCTTCTGCCCTAAATTTGCTAGCAAAAATTCTGCAAAAAACGCGTTGAACACTATGAAATAGGGAAGAAGATTTTCTTCCTTTTTGATATTTCTTTTTTTTTAATAATTTCCAATTTTGAATAAATAAATTACCTCTGATTTTTGTTTTCTTTTTCTTTTTCTTTTTCTTTTTTCTCTCTCCAAAAAATAATTTCCTTTCGTCTATTTGCTGTTTCTTCTCCTCGTTTCGCGCTCTCCTAAATTGATATTAGTACTAGTACTAATCTCATTTTCTCTCTCCTATGACGTCATAAATAAAGATCCACGTCTGAAAATATATCCACGTGGCAGGTAAAGATCAACGGCTTAGACGTGGTGACCTCTCAGTAAGCACTATTTTTTTTTTTTAGTAGTAGTGTTAAGTAGTTAGGAGTAGTAATTAAGTTATGTCTATAATAATTTTATGGGATTTTTCAATTAGTTTTGGAGGGAAATTGGCCTGCATTAATAATGGAGGTGTTATGTTAGTATGTTTTTATGTCTGTTATTTAATTATAGTGGATAAAATTTATATTCTTTTTATATTTAAGGATGTTTGTTTTAATGTTTTGAATCTTAAAGGACTTTGATGGAGTAAATGAATAGCCTACAAAATTGAATGTTTAAATGATGACTTTTAGAATTATTACACAATTCCCTCTTGTGCTCGTTGATGGCTTTTACGTAGTATTGAAAAAGAAAAGAAAAGAAAAAAAACACATATGTGTTATGGACATACGGTATTTTAAAAAATATTGATAATGATTATACATGGTGATGGAAGAAGGTTTTAAAATTATATAATACATGTTGGAACGTTCTACATGTTGCAACTGAAAAAGGTCTGTAAGATATTGTTGGAAGTGTTCGATGGAGATGAATCTAGCATTGAAGTTTTGTTGGCATGTAATTTTCATTTGGGGACATGTAGACATGTAGCTATCATGAGTTATTCATTAGTTATCATATGAGTTTCATTTTTGAAGCTCAAGGATTGGACCAGTGTAAGAAATAAGGAAACGCAAGTATCGAGGTAAATGTATATTACGAGTAAACAATTAACATCTTAAAATAGTAATTATAGGGCTAGGTATATATGTAATTTAATCGACAAACTAATGAGTTTCATCTAGATATGTACACATTTTTTAAATTAGAGTCATAATAATAATTTATTCAACTTTTGAGTCCTTGATTATAAATTGGGCTTCTTATGGTTTACTCGTATATTGATTAAGTTTGAGTTGTGATGATCAATTGAGTGATTTGTTTCCCTATTCAATTATTACCATTTTTTATTTTATTTTTTGTAATACGGAGTATATGTATTCGTACATAGTCAAATTAAAGCCATAAAAAAAAATGGTAATGCCTAAAAAAAACAAAAAATTGTTGTAAAAACATAAAGTAACATCAAAAAAATTAAAATTGAATAAATAATAATTTACTACTAGTATAATATTTGGGTTTTTCTTACCTAAATACGGGCCTGTTCTCATTGACTGAACTAAAAAGAATTGAGCTGAACTGAACTGAATTGAACTGAACTGAGCTGAACTAAAATAAATATTTTATAAGAGAAGGAAATTAGGAGCTGAACTGAACTGAATTGAACTAAAATGAGCTGAACTGAACTGAACTAAACTAAACTGAACTGAATTTCAACGTAAGAGAATAGGCCCTACCTCGATTCTTAAATTTATATAGGGCTAATTATTCAAAATTCATACATTTTTTTTAAGGATATAACAATTCTTACTTGCTTAGTTTTTGGATCTTACAACCATGCTTGTAAAAGGTTAAAATCTTGTTGATAGTATTAATGAAACTCGATCAATTTAGTAAACTTAAATGATAATGTATGTGGACTTAATTGAGGAAAAAAAATGAAAATTGTCCTTAATTTTGTTTAAAATCATGATACAATTAAATCGAAAGCAAACACAAGAGAAAATATAATGATCGAGTATGGCATTGATTTTTGATGCTTTAATATATAATTATGCGTGTAATAAGGTACTCCCTTCGTCCATAAATTACATTCCTCTTTTTTATTATTTATTCCTCACATAATAGAGAGAAAGAGGAATGTAATTTAGGGACGGAGGGAGTAATAACCTAAATTGCCATAAAAAATACTCGGTACAATTTAATTAGCCATGCATGCAATGAAGAAGAATAAATGAGTTAGAAGACTTAAAACTTCCGTAGTACTATACGAGTAGTTTATTACTCTGTATTTGTGGTTTCGTTTCATAGAGTTGCTAATTCTTGATTGGTAAACATCTGAACTAAACAAGCAAGACTATAACTTTCCGTTCAATGAAAGCTAACTGATGAATAATAAGTGATGCATGAAATGTGGTTAGGTGTGAATAAGTCTTGTATCTTAATTTAACGTTTGGTTAGCCTAAGATGGAGTCAACTAATGTTCATTCACACAACGTTACCATGGTCATGAAATCAACTACTACTATATACGGAGTAATAAAATAATCTCCTAAGTAAAGGTTTTTTCTCTTCAGCTTAATTTCAGTTCGTTCACTTCTATTCCTAATTTTCTTCTCTTATAAACAATTCATTTCACCTCAGTTTAGTTCGGTTCAGTAAATCAGAACGGGCCCAATGCTACACCGATCCTTAATATCCATATATCATGTTACATACTCTTATTAGTTCTCTTCATTTGCCTTAAAATTAAATATAAAATTTAATAATAATAAATTCTTGTTCAGTAAGAACAATTAAAGGTTAATCAGTTAGATTTTTTTTTTTTTTTTTAATTTCATTAGTTAAAGTCATATGACGACTTTTACCATTGATAATTGATGATTAAGATCTAACTTTTTTTTTTGGGACACAAACCTCGATACTTTTTGGTAATAACAAAGCAACACTTCGTATTATGACATCTTCTCTTACCTCGATTTTTTAAGGAAATTATATTAATTAAAACTTTTTATTGTAATTAAGCTTTTATTTTATTTTTTTCAAATCTTAATCCTGATGTCCTTATGTCAATTTTTCCTAAATAGACAAAGGTACAAAATTTACAGTAAATTTTTTTTTAAAAAAACACACACACAACTCGTCAAGACACCAATACGTTAACCAATTATTTTTTTTAAAAAAATACATATGTAACAACTTATTTGGGACGAATTTAGAAGGACTGATAAATTTACATGTAGGTGAGGTACTGCTGTACGTTATCTATGAGAGCATCTGTGCCTTGAATATGTGGATAAACTTATTTGTCAACTGGTATTTTAATTTGCTTGAGGTTTCATTTTCATATAGTATACCACGGTCAATTTTCAGCTCTTGGTGGTCTCATATTCTTATCAGATCAATTACAGCATGCTTTAATATTGCGGCACTTCATTTACCAAATCTAGAGAATACTTAAATATACCTACTTGTATTGCTTCGTGCTCAATACTTGCGTGGTTTTATGAAAATTGGACATGGTCCAGGCGCATGACTTAGAATTAGTCTATCCAATGATGCAAAAGCAAAACTATATACTTGTATATTGAAACCAAGTTGCTAGCTAAAATTAGATTTCAAAACATGTAATCATAATAGTTAATAATAATATAATGACTAGTACATTAATGACTAAAATGTGCAAAGTCATTTATAAACCTAATCTCCTTATTGATGATGTTACGAGTATATTAATGACTACTTGACTACTAGTATTGATCTAATAAAGTTGTACATTTATTTTGAATTTTGACCACTAAAGGTTTCAAGTTAGCCTATCCAAATTAAAACAAAGTGCTCATAGTTGTTAACCGTACGTAGGAGTAGTTGATACTCTGATAATTGCTCAATGCTAGTTGCTAGTGATTAGTTGTATATAGATATAGATATGGATCGAGCTAATATGAAGGCCAGTTGAGCACGACACAAAAATGACCCAGCTTGGCATGAGCTTGTTAGAAGGTCAAAACGGCACGAGTGGTTCAATGAGAAAGGCTCATGTATGGATATTTTTTTTTCCAAAGAAACTTGGTATGACCACGACATTGAGCACAGTGAGTCATCTTGATAGTGACCTATTTATTTTGCCAATTTAAGAATAATATAAAAATTATCAAGGGGGGTTTATTAGCATGACACAACATGTGAGCGGGGTCGTGCATAGCCTGAGCTTTGATTTAAAAATATCGGCATGAGCCCGCCACGACCCAACTATTTCTTGGCCTGTCTAGGCACAACCTGCTTGAGCAAGTGTTGTGTTTGTCACGACAAGTGGGCCTCCATGACACGTGTCACCCTTTAGTTGTCTAATAAAACTTTTAACATGGTAAGAAAATAGAGTTGATGTCAACAAAAAAAAAAAAAGTTATTCATATCTTTATTTAACTTATTCTTAATCCTTATGGTAAGAAAGTAAAAAATGATAAAAACTCAACTCGTCTTAAATACATACTTGATGCTTAAAAACTCCTTAAATTCCCAAAGAAAAACAAAAAAACTTGTATCAAATCAGATCTAAGGGCCTGTTCTCATACGTTTATCTTCAGTTCAGTTCAAAACCTAATTTTCTTCTCTTATAAAATATTTATTTCAGTTCAGTTAATGAGAACAGACCCTAATTTGAGTCTCGGGTTTCCTAAATTGATTGTGAATCGGGTGTAAAGGTGAAATTCTCCGATTAAAATAAAAAGTGTCGGGTTATCATTAGATCGGTTTGGGACAGTAAGTTAATGTCGATATCCAAAATCTTCAGACATAATCGGGTTGGATTTCGTTTTTTATCAGATCGGCCCACTTTACTATGAATAGAGAAGGTCTGATAGTTAGCGTAAAAAACGTGGTCCAACAAAACGACCCATCATTTTTTCCCTCATCATTCTTATAACTATAGAAATATTGAACTATTGAAGCATTGAACTCAAATCAGTAGAATTCAAGTGAAGAACAAAAATGGAGGAATCATTGCGAATTAAAGAAATCGAAGAAACTATTTCCACTGAAGAATTTGAGTCTCAAATCGAAACCCTAAACGTTCCCGTTGTAAATTTCTCAATTTCCTTATTATTCTATTTCTATAATTCTACTCTGAAATTAATTTTATTTTGAATATTGTTTCGATTTTGATTTGAAAAAAAGGTTTTCAGAGGATGTGTTAAGGATTGGAAAGCTTTCCAAAGTTGGAACCCTAAAAATGGCGGTCTCGATTATTTGCAGGTTTGCGTTTAATATTTCATTAGTTTGCATTATTTTTGCGTTGGTTTCTTCATTATTTAAATGCATTGTATATTGTACGCAGTATATTGGCTGTTTGTTTGTTGTTAATTTAGTGATTTGCGCAACAAATTAAAGTTAAATTGAGGAATTATTTTCACCATTATAACAAGGAAATTAGATTAATCAAGTGGGAATTTGGTTATGCATAAATATTAGGGATGATGATGAGCCTAAGCTACTTAGGATATCCTCGATTAAAGTTTGGCTCCAGTCAATAACTCGATACCTTTACGACTTTACGAGCCTATTCGAGCTCGGTAGATTTTACAAATGTTTTAAAATAGGATATACTCTTATGTATAGCTATTCCTGAAAAGCTCGAATGGCATGTTGGAATATATGGATTAAGTTAAATAAATGGATGAGTTAAACAAATGTGCTCGAGATCATATATATGGATTTAGTTGAATAAATAGATGAATTATGAAGTTTGAGATACAAGGTTGATTTAACAAAATTGTTTCAAGGATCTTGCAAGAATGATGAAAAGTTAGAAGTAAGAATGATAGAGATTGAGAAAGAATTTACTAGCTCTTTACTTGAGATCCAATCAAGCAAGAGCAGTATGCTAACCTGTGACTGGAAATTTTGATTTCGACAAGCTTGAGTTCAAGTCTAGATTGCCTTTCGCTTAATGAAGCTATCTTAAGCTCAACGACTTCTTATCATCCCTATTCAACCAAAGAGTTCACATGCTCGTGGAGTCATTGTTACATGCGTAAATTAGCATAGTTTGTTCCTATTTCTTGCATCATATTTTTGTAATTCTTTCATCATGTAATGTTTTTTCTTGTTTAGTTTTGTTCCTTTTCTTATATCCAAAATTGGCCGGAACATCTATGATTAACTGATTATAAATCTTAGGAGCGGGTGCAATCAACTATTGTGGAGGTAATGCTATCAAGATCAGCACCTGTCTTCTATGGTGATATTAGAAGCCATGAGAGGGTATGCAGTTTCTTTGGGCATCTACCGTTTCTAACCTTATGATTTTGGACTATTCATTCAGGTTATGATCCTTATTGACTGTGTAGGTTCCACTGCCGTTTTCTTCATTCATTGGGTTTTGTAAGAGGGGTCAGAGCAAAGATGATAGTCTTGATGCCTGCAATGAGTCTGAGATACTTCAGAGTGTGGGATTGGATGCCGAGTTGTGCAATTCTTTAACAAATGCTCGTGATCAGATTTATTTAGCTCAGGTTGAAGCTTATAGTTAGTGACTCCTAGTGGACTGTGTATTAGTTGTAGAATGTGATGTGCAGCATAGTTAATAATATAATGATGACAGTGATAACTATTACAACGATAATGATTCTTTAAGTGTTCAGATAGAACGGATACAAAAAAGTGAAAAACTCAGATGAGATAAAACAAAATCTTTAAAAAAATTTGGGCCAGATCACCTTATTTGAGTTAAAGGAATATGAGGAATATCCTTTTTGTGATTTATGTTCTTTTCTTTTCTTTTTTTTTTTTTTTTTTTTTTTTCTTTTTTCTCTTAATAAAATAATTATTCATGTTCATAATATACAACTATCTGTGGCGGCTGAAACTTAATGCCTTATCAGATAATGCTAGAAGTCTGGTCGGGCATAGAGTCATAACAATTGTTTAGAAATGAAGGGTGGCATTATGTTGCTACTACTGCGCTACACTGTCTCTTGAATTGTGTTTGCAGCTGGATTTTTATTACCCCTCTTTTATATTCTAAGCACTGAAGTATTGGCATCTACTTGTTTATAATTCCTGAATATACAATGTGGCTGTAGGTTCCAATCCTGAACAGAGAGAATGAAGAAAGGGTACAATTAGAAAGTTTACAAGAAGACATTAAAATAGTATGTCTACAAACCATTTGCTTATGTGTTTTGATCTGCAGCTTTATTATATTATCATCTGTTCTGATTCTGAATGCAGCCCCTGCCTTACTTCTTGCTTCTTATTTTCAGCCTTCTTTCTTGGGACCAAGTAAAATTTCTTCTATCAATTTGTGGATGAATAATGCAGAGGCTAGATCAAGCACACACTATGATCCACACCATAATCTTTTATGTGTAATTTCTGGGTGCAAGCAAGGTACCTATTATTTTTTTTTTCCTTCAAATTTCTTGCATTATTGTTGCTTAGTGCAGAAGTGTGCTATGTTTGTGCAAATCTGCAAACACTTTTTATATCTGCATTATGGTGTTTGATAAATCTATGCTGTCCTGTTAACAAAAAAAGAAAAAAAAAATAAAAAAATGATGATATCTTGCATTGCTAGTGAGAGTGTGATGATAGGCCCTTTTTTTTTTTTGTTGACTGGTAGATCTTTGTCGTATGCAGTGTATGAAATCTGACGTGACAGATCTTCCCTAGTGCATTAAATTAATAATTATTATCATATTTATAGAACTCCAATATAATACATTCTGGTTTGGAAAAATCTTGTGCTGTGTGCCTCTAGTTCTCTCGTCCTTCTGATTGGTAATTTTGTGAAAAGGAAGTTTGAATTAGGACCATGTTTGTGTTCGGATTTCAGGAAGATCTAATCACTGACTCAGAGTTGTGGATAGTGGAGTGAGATTATGTGAATGGCTTTGTAATAATAGATTAAATGAATGGCTTTGTAATAATATGCTGCATTATTGTGGTGCATATAAATGGCAATTAACTTTTCTTTTATAAATTTTGTAAGTCTAATATCTGGTAGAAATTTTTTCTTCACATGGACATTTATTCTGATTTTTGAGCTTTTTGTTTGTGTATTGGTTTCTTTGTTTGGAATGATCATCCTTAGACTCTCATATTAGTTGTGCTTCTTTGTGTGTTTATCAAAGCCTTTGAGGAATAAGGATAAACACTTCATTTGAACACATTTGGCAATCCTCGAGGAGTTGAGGGTGAGGTTTTATATATTTTTAAACTTATATTTAGGTAAGGCGGAAAGGAGGAATATTTTTTTTAAACTCTGACGTTGAATGTTGCTGCTTTTCTATTTCTGTCATGCAGCATCCAATTTTAAAGCAAATAACATATGTATTTTTGCTTATTTGTATTGGTTCACCTCTGATAATTCTACTTTTGGCAGTTGTTTTATGGCCACCATCTGCTGGCCCGCTGTTGTATCCTATGCCAATTTACGGAGAGTCCTCTAATCATAGGTATGCTGAAAATACAATCACTAAAGGAATGTAAGTATAATTCTAATGGGAGTTTTGGGATCAAAATTTTGCGAGTGGGGTTGGGTTTTGGTTGGGATTTTAAAATTTATATTAGTTGGTTAAGGATTTAGCGCTTTTTGTCAAATTCTGAAGGACAAGATGCATTTATCAAAAGTTTAGAACCCCGTGCTAGACATTGATCTCTTGCTTTATTTTTATATATTTACTGTATTATTATAATAGTCTTTTTCATCTGCAACTTTTTTTCCCAACAGCTCTGTTACTCTTGATTCTCCTGATTTTTCGCATTATCCAAGATTTGAACGCGCTCATGAGTACTCCCAGAAACTCACTCTTCAAGCAGGAGATGACCTTTTTATTCCTGAAGGCTGGTAAGCATTTAATGAACTGTCAGCTTGACACATGTCAGCAATGATTGTCCTTTTGACTGCCCATTGCACCTGGGCTGTTAATTTGTTATGAACCAGGGCATACAATTTTTGAATCTATTGAATAATTTTTGTGATTCAATTCTGCGTTTTTGTGTAAGCGTGACATTCTTATGACTCAAATGAGGTTTTTGATTTTTAATTGGTGAGTATCTTGGCAATTTGTTTTACAACTGCAATATGGTTTACAATTTCTACATTAAGCATCAATTCTGAAATACAGGTGCTCTGACAACCATACGCGTTCTGGTCTTCTAGGTCTAAAGAAATGCAAAAGTTTTGTAGAATGAAAATCAGAAATATTATTAGGACGAGGGTAATGCAAAAGTTTGTATAGAATGTAAATCAGAAATAGGCTTACTCCCCTCTTCTTGTTACTCTAGCTAGCTCAAACTCTATTTTAATAACTAATTCTGTATTGGCGCATTGCCTAGACTACCCCTCCCTTTAGGCTAGCTCATTATTTAGTTATATAGAGGAGTTTTTGTTTTGTAGAGCCATATATATGGTTGTGTCCTTTACGCTTTTCAAAACATTCTATAGAGGAGTTTTTGTTTTCATAATCTCTAGAACTGCAAGATTTCATTCCCTTACTTTATAATCACTTGTTTGACAGGTTCCATCAAGTTGATAGTGATCAATTGACCATAGCTGTTAACTTTTGGTGGAGATCGAATATGATGTCGAACATGTTGGAACACATGGATGTATATTACTTGCGTAGCATATTGAGAAGGTGTGCCTTTTTATTTACCTCAATTATGTTATTTGATAAATTATATAAACTATGACTTATGCTATGTTTTTTCCGTGTTGTATTTGTTGGTGGTACGGGTGTTCTCAAATGAAGATTGATTGACAAAGAGATGGTATGTAGCTTGTCATTTCATTTTCTCGCAGAATTGTACATGTTTTCTGTTTATTTGAAGTGATTGTGTCTTGATTGCCTGAGAATTTTTTCTGTGGTCCTATCATTGTTGTGCATAGGCTTGTTGCTTAATGGAAGTGATAGTACATGTCTTGATGTTTAGAATGGTTTGTCTATATATGTCACTATCAGTATGCTTGTGGGCTGTTGATGTTTGCTTCTTTACTCAGCTTACCTTTCCTTTTCATCAACTCAACTGTGATAGTTCTTTTCTGTATATTTAATTAATCCCTGTTACCTTGTAGTCTCGTGCCTTTATGTATAGGCATTTGCATAATTTTCTTTTGTTCATTTATTATTAAAATTGTGTATCTTGTATATCATATATTCTTCAGCTTGTCTGCATTATCATTTTTTTAGGCATGTTTCAGGAAAAATGGCGACCGTAAAAGTGCTAGTATTTTTTTTTTGTTGGCACATGTCCCAGTGTGTGTGATCATGGATTTATTTCATGATACTTCTTCTTTCCTTTTCAATAGGGCAGAATCAGATGTTGCAGAAAACTTATGATGCAGGTTCTGGCAAACTGAGAGATTGCGGAAGTGAAGCACCTGATAATGGAAAAACAGGTCTTATATTCGCTGCACGTTGGTGGATTTATTTTGAGCATCTGGTCTAGATTAACTAATTGTATTCTTGTGTCCTTTAATCAGATAGTCAAGGAATTCTCGCACACCAGAAGCATGAAAATAAGATTAATCTGAACGTCAAACCTCATGATCTTGCCCCCCTAGCACTTGAAGCACTTCATGAACTTCTTTCTCTCGTCCATGATGGGGTTAGTGCTGTCAGTCATCAACCATGCACTTCTACAAGTGATTCTAGGGTGATTCCTGATAGGAATGGCAAGAACACAATGGTTACCAAGTCCTATTGCCCCAGTGCTGCCACTCAAGATCAATGCACTTCAAGAAGTGATTCAGGAGTTATTCCAGACAAGGACTCAAAGAACGTGCCAATATCTAACTTATGTCGCCTGAAAGATGATTCAATTGCCAGTATTCTCTGGAATCTTAATCCACTTGATCTTCTGACAGTTTTTATGGCAATGGTGGTGAGTTTTTGCTTTTAATGTCTTGAATCAGGGAAACCAATTGAAAGATTTTCTGCTCTAATCTGCAGTCCCTTTGCTTATGTGCTCTTATGTGAAATATGGTTTGTTTTGTTGTTTTTGTCGTTTTCTAGATTATTGAGATTTTAAGCCATTTTTCTTCTACCTTGTAGTAAGTTTTTCACTGGAATTCACAACACTTTTTGGAAGATTGATTGATTGATATGTTCTGACATTCTTAAAAAGGACTTTGATTATTTTTTCTAACTAAATGCTCGAACTAATATAATGACGCTTCTTGTCTCTGTTTATTTATTTAAAGTTTGTGTGCATCTAGTTACTTATTATCTGACGTTTCATCAATGCAAATTACTACCTCCGTTTCATATTATTTGCAACGATTTGACATAAAGTAGAGAGGGAAAATGTCTAATCGTTGCAAATAATATGAAACGGAGGTAGTATTATTAATTGGTGTTAATTGTGCTATCCAAGTTGCATCTTATTATGTTTGTTTTTTTTTTTTTTCAGAACAGCTTTCCCAGAACCTTAGAGGCATTGATACTTCACATGCTTTCGCCAGTGGGGGCTGAAGTTCTTACGCGAAAATTTGATGAATTAGATCAGCAACTGACTGAAGAAGACCGGTAAGTGATCAATTGTGAAATGACTCTGATTCAGTTTTTTCAAATATGGCAGGTTTGACATCTTCTCTAATTTAATATTTGTCTTGTTTATTACAGGGGCTCATTCTACCAGAGGTTTTATAGTGTGTTTGATGATCAATTTGCTGTAATGGATGTGATCTTGAAAAGAAAAGAGTCATTTGCACACCAGGTTAGAGCTGATTTTACCTTTGTATTTTTTTAATTGGAATTTTGTGTCGATATCTGTTGAGGGAAGAGGTTCATAAATATAGTATTACTTAGCAAAAAGAATCTATTTTAATTGAAGTGACTTTAATGTTACTAATCTTAGCATAAGCTTGCTTAGTTGATTAGTCAAAATTGGTGCAAGGTAGAAGCCTTCATGCTCTTGCTATACATGCTTCTCGTTGTACCTCTGTTTAATGAAGTTACTGTACTGTTAAGCTATTGGGACTAAAAAATTTTCTCTGTAACATTTTTAATTTGTGGGATAGGAAAACCCTTAAAATGGAACTTTTATATTAACCGATGAAATGGGAATATAATCCCCACTACTGTTTCTGTTACATCCCTGTTACCATACAGTTTTGTACATCAATACATAATCAAATCATTCAAATGTAACTTCTTATCCTGGAAAAATTACTTTACAAGCCTTTTGAATCACGATCCATTTTTCATCCTTTTTATCATTTTCTGTTGCAACTATGGCTAACATCTCTATGTCTAGGACTCCAAGAGGGAAGCTGGATTTTGCTTATAATTATGAAATTCTTGGACATGCTTTTTTTTCACAATCAGAATCATATATTTATCAGATCAATCAATAATGCGAGATATCTTTTTCCATATTATATACGAGTACCATTTTAAGATGTAAGTTACATTTTGTGATTTTGTTACTCTTTTGTAGGCATTCAAGAATGTTTTGCAGCTATACATGGGAGTGACACTCAGCGGGTCCAGTTGACGGGATACTGATTCTTTTTTGGGACAGCTTGGTCTTGCCTGTTATAAATAGAAAGTTCGAGTGCTTAAACAGTGAATTTCTTTGTCTTCTGCGGCATATTTCTCATGTGAGTCACTCATTGCATTGTAGAATATTTATGGTTCTAATTTGAATACTAGTGTACTCCATATTTGTAGATGTTGGATGCTTTGTGGATTTTTCTGTATAATTCAAATCATGTTATGACATTGAGTACAGTAAAATGTTGTCCTTGGGATTTCTGTTGATGTTTTTACTTAATCTCAAGTACTACGTCGGCTTGTTATCTTTAGTTTCATTTTAACTGTTAAGTTGATGAGTTGTTATTGCTTAAACTCGCTGAATATGTCGGCCTTAGATATGGTGTCCGCCATGGCTGCATCTAAGTTTTCTTATTTATATGAAGGATTACACCTATGTTGACATGGGTACAGGCTTACAGAAAATTAGGGAAGGTTTTGAGTAACATGGTTTAGAAGTTACAAGTTCAGATTGCATGGAGGAACAAGGAAATAATTATTGTGGGAGGTAGAATAGAATTGCCAAGGGATATGATAAAATGATTAACATCTATATAACCTCCTTTCAATTCGAGTAGGCAAGGGTAATGCCGAATTGCTTGGTAAGGGTAATGGTAGTAGACTTACAAATTGGGTTGATTGTTTGGTTTGTTCAGAAACATTGTCTAGTTTGATAAACGGGTGCCAATAATAAGTTTATGTAAGGTCTATCCGAGTTCAATTCACAACTGAAGTAAATAATAAGTTTGAATAAGATTAGATAAGTTGATATTGTGACATGACCATCTCCTTTTCTTTTGAAACAAAGTATTGATCACCAAAAGACTATCGAAAGTTTGTGGTATGCTGACTAAGAAAATACAGTAGTTTGAAATGGTCAAGTGAAGCATAGTTGTTCAGAAGATGAGGTCAAGTATTGACATCATATTGTTGCTGAAGTAAGCGAAAGCTTTGATTGTCAATGACTTTAAAAAGATGATTGTAGTATAGGGATAGTCGGATAGATAGATGAAAGCAAAAGGACTGAAACTATAGAAAAGGAAGAAAAAAGGACATGTTTCTTAAGAGATAAGATTCCCTGATGAAGATGACATATTGTGGAAGTAGAAAGTTGTACGGAGTTAAAGGGGAATTGAGATGGAATACAACCCACTTTCTTGAGTATTATCCGCCCGTGAAGTAAGAAGTAAGAGAGAGAGAGAAAAAAAGGAATTTTCCCTCTTTTCGATATTATCCGACCATTTAACTAATTCTTTTTATATTCTAATCATCGGTGGATTAGAATATGAATGAATGCATTTTACTAATTGATTTTATATCAAATGCATTATTATCACCAACGGCTCTTTAAGTGTGCATAATTTAGGAAAACGCACACATGGAGATGGAAATGGGGTTTAAATATCTCATTTTAAGTACTCGTAGTGTCAGATCCTTAACACAGCAAGACTGCAAGTGACCTAAATACATTTCTAAAAGATCACACTACATAACACTTTGGTACTGTATGCTTTTAAGTTATAACCTTTACAAACAGCAGAGTCTAAGGCTTTTCCCACAGTTTTGTTACTGGCTTCTTTGTTGTCACATGTATGCATTTTCTTATTCCTGGTACTCTTTGAGCCTGTAAATGTGTCCTACAATAACTGTGTTGTGCCGTGTTTCCGACACGGTAGAACAGTATACGTGGTCTCTGAAGTCTGAAGTACCCGTGTGAATGGGTTAGCTTTGAATTCGATGTCGGTTGCTGGCGTCACCGGTGTGCTTACAGTGTTGAAGATAACTTATCTGAGTGAGGGAAAGATGAGGGGCAACACCAGATCACATGAAAATGGTACTAGAAGTCTGGGACTTAATGTGGGGGTGACTTAAAATTAGTACTCTTTGAATTGATGTACACACTTCCAGATAGTAGTGGACTTAGTTTGTTAAGCCGTTTGGAGTTTGGACAAGCTCTCTCAAGTCCGTACGTATGTCACTAGGTCCACTATCAGTCCATACGTCTATATCATACAGTGGCTTACCCTTTTTTATTTTCTTCAAATACTTTCTTATGTTTATTTATATAGGGTGTTAAGAATGCCTCGTTTTACCCTTCAAATTTATTATCAAAGATATGTGTATTAGCCGTATTTGAATCACGGGTACAAATTAGCGAATTGTACAATCTTTGGGTTGAATGGAGGTGGCTTAGATATAATGAATCGAGTTGATCTTGAGTTTAATTTAGGCCTACTTCGACTCAAGTCATGAACAAATTCCACTCGAGCTACTACTACTTCGATAGCATGATTTTGAGAATGATTGAAATATTGGTTAAGTTAAAAGTTAAATTATTGAGTTACATTATAGAAAATCAGAGAAAGTATTAATAAAGTTAGTCTATATCTTTAATTATGAGGGATAAATGAAATATAATTACTATCCGAAGACACAAGGAGTAGTATTAGTAATACATCTTTGGGCCACTTTAATTGATAAGCTCAACTAGTCTAGTTAAAACCTCAAATTGAGTCAAGTTTTGACTGGATTTAACTAGTATTAGTACCCCCAACCTTTAGTAGCTAGTATTAGTACTACAGTAGTGTAAATCAAACCAATTATTTATAGAGTTTATAATGTTCTATTTAGCTTATGATTGTGAATAGTTTATTCAGCTTTTCTGTTCGCAAAAATCGAAAAGACCCGTGATATTATTGAATGAATGGCTATGATTCGATTGATATGAACTTATAATGAAGATTGATGGACCATGTCACCTGAATTTTTTACCAGTAATCATGGAAGGGGTCAAGGGGGTCATCTAATTGCAAAGCCTTTGTTCTTTGTTGTTTGTTGTTGGATTTTTACACAGAATTTGAGAAAATAGAGTCACATTAATGTTTAAGGGTAACTACATTTTTAAGGATCATTCAAGACTCCCAAAGCTAAGGTTCCTTTAGCATCTTTTCAACAATCATTGACGTTTTTTTTTAGGGTTTATATATTTTTGTAAGGAGTAGTAGATCTTACTTCATCTCCCGGTCAACTTATTAGCTATTCACTACCCACCATATTCCGGACCACTTGGTATGACACACGCTTGGTTGAAATGTCTTTTTTCACGCTTTTCAACATTCTACACGCACTAAGTTGATCACTCTTTTGTATTCTTAGATTTTTATGATTTGGATGCCATAGGAAAGTTTCATTTTGGTTCTTTTGGACATTGGAGGAGTTTTGTTTATATCTTTAAGGAATTTAAGTATGAATATTTATAGGATACAGTTCTATTGATTTCCAATTTTACATTATTAGTTTAGATTACATAATTAAGGATAAAAGTAGAGGTATGTAGTAATTAAATCCATTCATAGGAGGAATCTTAATTATGAATAAATTACTATTACTCTTTTTATATTGAACATTAACTTTCACCCAAAAAAAAAAAAAAAAAAAAAAAAGTGAAAGCAACTAGTGTTCCAAGTTTTGGTTAATTCAAGTGTACGTATATATGGTGGAGGAAGAGGTTCGAACCCGCGTTTGTGGTGTGGAAGGCAGTAGTAAACAACTAATAACTCAACCCAGTTTTTCTGGAAAATTTTCTGCTTAATTAGATTTTATTTTTATTTTTTGAGGGGTTGGGTATTAATTTGTTTAATTATGAATTAAAGAGGTCAAAATTCAAAAAAAGAACAATTTATTTTCATAGTAGTTATTTCCCAAGACAATGAAATGTATCCTTCCTTTACTGCTTGAAAGCAGCAAAATTTTCCTTGTCACCTTTTTTCTTCTTTCTATTAGAAAATTCTCTGATCTTCCTGATTTTTGGGTAGAAAACCTAGACTAGAAAGCCACCAATTTGATTTCCTCCTTGACTTCTATATTATTTATTGACCATTATCTTTATTTGAATGCTGATGTTTGCATGTAGCAAATTCTACTAGTTAGTCAAAGAAAACCCTAGATGTATTTATCATAGAAAGAGTTTTAATGTTGAATTTTCGACTTTTTAATCATGAGGAGGAGAATTATCTCTTATTATGCACACTATACAAAATTGCAAATGAAATGAGTTAAACATTTTTGTTTTGTGATCTCTAGTCTCTGAATAATAAACTGTATTTAGTTATAGGTCTCACGAACTATTCTTCACTATTTAGCTTTTTAAGTTTTTCTCTATTCTATATAAGAAGTAACATACATTCTTATTAGCTAGATGCAACATTAAAGGTGATACAGAAAAGATTTGAAGTTTTACTAAATTGAGAAAGTGACCAATTTATTTGTATCATATATTATTAAATTCATAAACGAAGATAGATTATTATATAAAAACGACAAAGGCGGCTATTCAGTGTTTACTAAACATAAGGTTGGTGTTTACTTTAACAAATAAAAGTCTATTTTACTAAGTAGCATTGGAATTTTAGTTAATTATAATAAATAGTAATAATATTCAATAAATTTAAAAATCATGACCTTTAATTATTATGTGCTTGTGGTAGTACTTGTAGTAAGTAATCTAAATAAAACATGTGAACCTTTTGGCATTATTATGGATTACTCCTAGTTTATTGGTCCAGTGGTCCTAATACCTATCACATACATTATCAAACCAATAATTATTGTCTTATTAAGTGTCTTTTATCCACATCTTCCTAACTGAAAGAGGAATCACTAGTTTCGTCATGCCTTAGTTTTTTTTTCTAGATCTACTAAACTTTACGTTACATTTTTACATATACTATATAATTATGGACCATGAGCTGTGTTACTTGTGCCCTGCCATATCATTATCATATTATAAGGTATGATTATTAATTATATTTATGCACTCATGCATCATCACCATATTTTAGCTTAGATTATGACCTGCCACTAGCTAGCTTTACCATGCATGTATAATGCTACTTTACCTAAGATTTGATATGAGAGTATTACAGTACATGCATGCAGCAGTTTGTATTTGCTGATCTTTCTCGTTATACTCCTTCTGTTTCTAAAAACTCGAAATAGTTTGATTTTTTGCACTATATATATATATATATATATATATATATATATATATATATGACAATCAAATGTTGTCATGTACTGTGTTGCTGGGTTAGTCTTAATGTATACAGGATGACGTTAAAAATTAACAAATAATGTATGTATTCGAAATTTTTTCCTTATAAATCAAAATTAGATGATTCTTAGATGTATATCAGTATATGAATGTTGTAGTGAATCTGGTCTTTTATATAAGCCAATCAATTGCATCAATTTTTAAAACAATCTT